AGAAGCTCATTTACCATTAGAATTTTGGGACGAAGCTGTCGAGCACGACGTATACATTCGAAACCGCACTAGTATTGGCCCAGATGCAAATGGAATCGATCGAAGCCCACTCGAAGCATTTACAGGCACATTACCAGATATCGATACATGCAAGGTCTGGGGGAGTCGATGTTACGCCTATATCAACCCCAAAACCATCCCAAAAGGACAAAGGCATGATAAACTTCGCGACACAGCAAGGGTTGGGATATTCCTGGGATACTCAAAAGACACCACCAAGCATATAAAGGTTTATTCACCAGAGCTAGGTTATACTTACCGCTCTTATCGTGTTACAATCGACGAAAGCTACAAAGGAGGGGATCTGGATCTCAAACTCAGAAACTGTGTAGCTGGATCACAAGGTACCAAGAATATAGAACCTGATCGCAGGCCTCGCGGCAGACCTAAGAATGTCCCTGAATCATCGTCTATTCCAGTCGATCCACCAATATCACCAAATGAAATAATCACAGACTCGATAGAGGTGCGCTTGCCAATACCAAAACGAACAAAGACTGAAATACCACGCTTTGATGAAGATGAATATGGAAATATCCGACAAGTGGCTGATGATTTAACAAGACCGGCAGGGGAAAACAACAAAGAAAGTGATGTTACTTTACCTGATATAACTTCACCACCTGATCATACACCACCGAAGTCAAGGGCACCTGAGGATATAACTTTACCACTTGATCATACACCATCGAATTCGAGTACATTACCTGAGAGTGTATTACCTGATATTGCACTACCTAATGAAACTTTACCACCTACTGCATCTACATCTGCATCTACTTCCACACCACCTTTGAGATACAATCTTAGGAAGAGAAAGAGAAGCGATGACGACGATATAGAAGAACAGAGAGACTCCAAAATCATTCGGGCCTTACTTGCTTCCTTAAATAAGCCAGGATCAGAATCAATTGAGCACGCCATGATTGCCATTCCAAATATTCATCAATTCGAACAGGAGACGAATAATGAAATTGCTTCGAAGATCTTGACTATTTTAGCAGATGCACCAGCAGAAGCTGAGACCGCTCTACCAGCAACGGAAATACTCGGGATCAAGATACCGAATACATATAAAGAAGCAATGGCAGACAAAAAGCACGCGAAAGACTGGCAAGCTGCAATTCAAGAAGAAGTAGACTCATTGGTCAAGAATGGCACTTGGGAAGAGTTCATTTTACCACAAGGGAGCAATCTAGTTTCAACGAAATGGGTATTTGTTGTTAAGACGAAGGATAATAAGGTAGAGCGATTCAAGGCCAGATTAGTGGCTAGAGGGTTCAGCCAAGTTTTAGGTAAAGATTACAACGAAACCTTCGCCCCCACTGTTCGACTCGATACTCTTCGCCTTTTCCTTGCAATTGTTGCAAGAGAGGACCTCGAGTGTTCCCATTTCGATATCAAAAATGCGTTCACCGAATCACACTTGAAAGAAGAAATCTATTTAGCACCCCCTCAAGGTGTTCATGTTCGTCGCGGCCGCGTTCTACATGCACTTCGGAGTCTTTATGGGCTAAAGCAAGCTGGTAGAGATTGGAGCCTTCTTCTGAAAGGAGAGTTAACCAAGATGGGTTTCGTACAAAGCCTTGCGGATCCGTGTTTATACACCAATCACCCGCGCCAGCTAATTCTCCTAGTGTATGTAGATGATATTGTTACTGCTGCTGCACAAAAACGAGATATTCAATGGTTTTATCACAACCTTTCTGCTCGATTCAACACCAAAGACCTGGGGGAGATTAGTAAGATCTTAGGAGTGCGCATCATTCGTAACAGATCAGAGAGAGTGTTAACTATGGATCAAGAAGAGTATCTGGATGCAATGCTTACCCGATTCGGGATCTCCCATGGTCAACACACTCCAAGGAAGATACCAATCTCGGATTACAACCAACTACGACCAACGCTCCCAGACGACGAGCTCACTGATGTAAACGAATACCAGCAAGCAATCGGCAGTACGATCCACCCTATGGTTTACACTAGACCGGACATCGCATTCGGTCTCGGGAGATTAGCACAAGCTATGTCTAACCCTGCCAAACATCACAGCGTTGCACTCAAAAACCTTATGAGATATTTGAGGTCAACTATTAAACAGAAACTACGTTTTGGGCCTGGGGGAGTTCAATCAGATATTTGCAAAGAATATGACCTCCTACAACGCACCATCAAAGTATACACCGACGCAGACTGGGCAAGCGATAGAACCGATCGAAAAAGCATCTCTGGTGGGGTAGTAATGTTCTATGGTGGACCAATCTCATGGGCAAGCAAGAAGCAGACATCTGTAGCTACATCTAGTACAGAAGCTGAGTACATTTCCATGGCGATGTTCACCAAACAAGGGCAATGGGTAGCCCAACTCTTGAGGGACTTAGAGCGACCACAGTATATCGGGAGCAACAGCGGAGTTCAAATGCTCGGAGACAACCAAGGAGCGCTAGCGTTAACCAAGAACCCACATCTACACGAGCGATCAAAGCATATTGACATATGTCACCACTTCATTCGAGATCTCACAGAAAAACATCTAGTCAATACCAGCTATGTCAATACAAGTGATATGGCTGCAGATGGATTAACAAAACCATGCGCAAGGGTGATATTTGAGAGATTCAAGAACATGCTGGGGTTTCAAAGAGAGTAAGCTCTTTGGGAGAGTATTGGAAGTTGTGGTATGTGCTCCAAAATCGACTAAATCGACCAAATTGACCAAATCGACCAAAATCACTGAATCCACCCATTTCACCTATTTCATCAGATTCATTGGATTCATCTTACGTCGAATTTATCAAAAAAAAAAAAAAAAAAAAAAAAAAAAAAAATTAATGATTTCAAGAAAATCACGTGGAATAACAGATAAGCTTAAGGTCTGTTCGCATACGATCGGATTTTGATGGTCTACCATATTAAAACAGTAACCCTACGATCAAGGAATAACGAATTTCGAAGCAATCAGTTATTGGGCGTATAAAAGGAATTTTAAAGAAACTAACTACTGAAGCTGAGAGAGTAAGCTCTCTGGGGGAGTGTTGGAAGTTGTGGCACGTGCTCTAAGCTACTGTGCATATATCACTTCCACTTCGTAGTTAGATTTTACCTTAGTACAATTAATCTACATAGTCAATAATACATGCATTCCACTGGCCTGCTCCTTTATTGTGAACAGTTTTAATAATTCAAAATTAAAATTTAATTTTAAAAATATTAATTTTATTTTATTTAATTTTAATTCAGATTGTAATTATTCATTAGGTTTTTATTAACAAATAATATCTCTAGTTTAATTCTCAACTAACCCCTTATTAATAATAGTAGTGTTGGAAGTTGTGGCACGTGCGCTTAGCTACTGTGTATATATCACTTTCACTTCATAGTTAGATTTTACCTTAGTACAATTAATCTACATAGTCACTTTTACATGCATTTCACTGGCCTGCTCTTTCATTGTGAACAAGTAGTAATATATAAACTCCCTTTAATATATAACTTGGAATATCGAAATTCTATTTGAAAAATTGAATAATTTGGTAAAAATGAAAAGTAATTAAATATTAATATAAATATTATTGTTATATAAAAATGTAATACTCTTATATTTATATTATATAATACTTATTTATTTGTTAATAAATTAAAAGGATTTTGGATTGAATATATTATAATATTAGATTATAATAAAAATATATATACTAATTGCTTGGTTAATTATGAAGAATTATAATATAATTTCAAAGGTAATTGATATTTTCAAATAGAAAGATTATAATTAAATATTTATGGGAAATGATAGAACAAATAATTTTATTTGTTATAAAAGAATAATAATTAAGAAATCTTTTAAAAAATATAATTGAAAGAATGAAATTAATGATATAAACAATTTTAGTAAAAACTTTAATTTTAGTAGTGAAAATTTTGAAAACGATTTGGGCTTAGAGAAGGTTGATGAAGTTATTATGGCTATTTTGTAGTAAATAATATTGATTTTGATTAAAAGTATAAATAAGGATAAAAAAAAGATAAAAAAGATAAAAAATATTAAAAAAAATAAGGAAGATAAAAAAGGAAAATATAAAAAGAAAAAGGAAAAGGAAGATATTTATAGATTTAAAAGATTAAAAAAGAAATCTTAAATTTATAGATTTATAATTTATAATTGTTTAATATATTTTACATCATATTACAATCAGAATATGATTTTTAAAACCAGAATGATATATAGTTTTTAAAATTAGAATGTCAAATCAGTTTGAGATTAGAATATCAAATCAATTTGAGATTAGAATATTATATATTTTTGAAATTAGAATATCAATTTTTTATTCAAATTAAATCAAAACTAGAATGATAATATTATCAAAAAAAGTCGAAATTAAAATATCAAAAATACTAATTAAGATTATTTTGGTTATATTCCTGACATTTGAGGTATCAATACATGGAATAATGCTATATGGGGTTATTACCGTATTAAATAATGTTGAAAAATAATAAAGGTAAATAATAATAAAGATTTGTTAAAGAATTACTTATAAAGCTTTAAAAAGTTGTTTTATAATTAATATATAATAATCTTGAAAACATTTGCTATTTTAATTTATTTGAATTATTACAAATTCAATAATTCCTAATAATTTATTTCATAACTTCAAGTATTTGATAAACCTTTTATTTGAGCTTAATAAGTATTATTTGATAAATAAATGAGGTTTAATAATTGAAATAAGCCGAAATAAATCGATCCGAACGCACCCTAAACAACCTGGAAAATAAACCACGATAATCTTCATCTATAAAGTTTTACTAATGAATAAACAGAAATTTTATCGCAACGCCGACGCCGAAGAATGAAAACAACCCAATTCTAATCACTACTTCCATCCTCACGCTTCGTCCCATACCCTACATCTTCATCCACTACTCTCTCCCTGATATCACCCCCTCTCCTCCAAAACCTCATCAATCGTCCTAACTGGTCCCTTGAAAAATGTTCTCCCCCCATATTTCGGACACCAATAATACGCCGTACAGAAAACGAATACAAATCCCAACACCACAACTGCATAATTCATCTCATCTGCATTTGGATCTTCATAATTTGGGAAAAGTAGCAACACAAAGATAAAAGTCATCCACACAACCGAGTAAACTGCACTGATAAAACTTATCTTGTCGCCCATGTACCAAACCCCGGGTGTAAAATTGCCGAAAAGAAGACGGGATACGAGAGGCATACAGTAAGCGAAGTAGAGGCCCATAATTGCAAGGTTGAAGATGCTGTTTATGGCGACGGTGTTGACGAGCATGAGAAGACCTTCAGCGAGTGTGCAGAGAGCGACGAAGGAGATGGCGCGGATGGGAGTTTTGTTGGATGAGAGGACACGAAGGTAGGATGAAAATGGGAGGCCGTGGTCTGTTAAAAATTGTGTTAGCTTTTCTCTGCCACATGAAAACATTCTTTGTCGGCCAGCAACGAAGTAGTGTTACTAACCTCTAGCAAAGGCAAAAGTTTCTCTCGAAGCCGCAACCATCAAGATCGAACAATTGGCCACACTCGAAATCCACAAGAAAACCAACAAGGCAACACTTCCATCCTTGCCCAAGCTATTGAGTGCAATCTGTGCCAGAGGCTGACCCAATGGTGACGTCACTATACCAATCACATCTGTTCCCATACAGAATGCAATCGTTATGATAACTGCCCATCCCGTCACTGCAGCTGTAATCAATGAAGAGACCATTGCGAATGGCACTGCTTTGGCGGCATTGCTCGCCTCTTCCGCTATGGTTGCTGCACTTTCAAATCCAGAGACAACCCATACTGGTGTAAGAAACGAGAGCATGAAGGCCCAACCATTATTTGTCCAAAATCCGGTATTTTCGAAATCTGTGAAGACAAAACTTGCGGAGTTTTTGAGTTCCGAGGGTGTTCCAGCGGCGAGAGCAACAATCAGAGCAAAAAGCATAGCAAATTGCAGGAATATGTAGAACATATTAAGGCGAGAGAGAATCTGTGACGGCACGCAAGTCATTGCAAAGGTCAAGAAGGTAGTTGCTGCGAACATGCCGTAATTTTGATATTTTGTAGCGACGAACGCAGAATCTGTATTGATACTACAGATTGCGCCAAGGATTAGGGTCGCTGCATAGATTGTTGATGCGTATATCGAGATATACCCTAAAACGTTCATATAACCTCTAAAAAAGACAGAGTTAGAGTTTGGTGTGGACATGACTACAGACGAAAGAACGTACGCAAGCCAGCACATGAAAGCCCTCTGCCGTGGTGGTGTGAGACGTGCAACCCACTGTCAATTGTTAACATTCATGAATCAACCAATCACTCTCGGGTATTGATGACTTGCATAATACAATCCTCCAGAAGTAGGCATGCTGCTCCCTAATTCCCCCAGGCTCAATGCCACCGGAATAAGCAAGAGACATCCCACTAGATACGTCCATACCATCCCCACACTCCCAGCATTGCCTAAACTGAAAACCATACTCTCGGCAATCGCTGGAGCAATCCCCATAGAACCAAAACTTTGTCCGAAGACAGTGGTGTATGAAAATTCGCGTTTTAGCTCAGCTCGATATCCCAGGGATGCCAATAACTCGTCATCGGCCGATATTGTTTCACCTTTTTCCACACCCAGAATTTCGGCCGCCTTTGCAATCTGTTCAGATTGTGATATAGATGAGGAATTGCTGCCATCACGTTTCCCCTTTTCAGGACACTTGCCTGTTTCCTCAGACATGGGGAATAGCAACCACTCACGACTTTATCAAAATCTTGTAAATATGTTGATAGCTCCAGTGACTGATAATCTCATGTGTTGTAGAATTGTTGCGAAAGTAAATCTATGAGATCTTAAAAAATGGGGTATGAAATTCTTTTAATATATGTCCCGAGCTCCTCCCTTCAAAATCCGAGATAAGGAAAGTATAACCTATGAATTCAAGACTCAAGGCCGTGAAATCATCTTATCATTGAGCCTTGCTATGCAGCATGAGCGACCCTATTCTTGCGTCCTTAGTATCACTGATGTCCTACGCGACGGAGACAATACAAGCCATGCAGTGATATGCGAGCTATGATGAGAGGGAGTTCGGGATGTTGAGATAAGGAATCTGGGGGAGCAAGCTTGCTAATGGTCACAGCGTTTGTAACGATAAGGAACCCCTGATACCGTAGAACCAGCGGAACTATCTTTGAAAGTATGAATATCGAGTTTAATATCGATAAGCATTTCAATTGAGTAATGAATAAACACTACAATGCTTGCGTGCAAAGATGAACCGAGATATGAAGGCACCACTTGATAGCCTTTTATTGCGCAGCATCTAAGATCGTGACGTCTTGATTTCCCCATGTCGTCCAATCCCACGCCAGTTGAGCCCAAACTCTATCATCAGAAAGGCAGGGCTGCATCAGATCCTCGTTATCCAAGGACATCACCGTCGCGACCTCCCTCATTCTCGGGCTAGAATCTGCTTACGATTACGTTTTCCATTGATAGTACACTGCTAGGATGCTCTCATCGGTCGAGACTAACATAGATGGGGCTGTCCATTGTCTTATCGACGCGAATCACTTACTTCGCTGCGAACGATGAAGTAGAGAGGGTGAAGATCTTCATCTTGAGCATTGTGCTAGATGTGATGATGTTTCTTACAGATACCAATAGAGCTCGATATGATTGGCTTCAATCTTTCGACTGACAAACCATATGCACGATGCACAGGCGATCTGAAAATGGGTGAGAGGGATTTGTGTTCCGATATGTTGCTGGACGCATTATTGAGGTCTGCAAGATGAAAAAACGTAAATCTTGTGGTATGGACGTGTAAACGGAGCCAGGAAGACGTGATAATGACGGCGAGTGTGATTCTTTTGAGATAGAATAGAAAATAAGAATATCAAGAAGATCAAAGCATGATATTGTGGGCGAGGAGATTATGTAATCAAATGGCGAAATAGGAGGGAAGTAACAAACGAAGATGTGTCATAGAAATTTTGTTTCATTCATCCCACATTTATCCTGAATTTTGACCTCCATTATCATTTTAAGCAATCTCGAAAGACAACTCGACGCACTGTAGGAATCGTTTCCAGTATACCCTCATGATGGGATGAAGAAGTCTTCAAAGTGGCGTGGTTGAAATGGAAATGTGAATTATTTTCTCGGTGGAGATCTCGACCTTGATAGAGTTTACGCGGAAAGACAACGCATAACCATATAAATTGATTCATCGGCCTTTGACTTTAATCAAATGGTGAAAGGGTATCATATACGGGTGCTCATACATATGCGTAAGTCATGATATGCTATCTACTCTATAGGGACCCTGGTACTTCCTCTCCATTTAGATCCGAGCAAACGCACTCTTGCCGAGAATTGGTTCCAAGTTCGAGAAATGTATCTTCATTATATTGCGATATCACTTATTTATATATACGAAGGCACTTCTTCCGGCATCCATATCTCAAGTCCAACTCTCCACAAGATCTCCTATTTGCCAATTTTCCCTTCCTTCCTTTTGCTTGCTAGCATCACGGAATGCATGGCATCTTCACCTTACAATTCTCATACTAATTTCTTTTGACCATGGATCATTGAATGCGTAATGATATTTCTGCCATGATTTATTTATCGTTGAGGTAATCATATGAAATGATTTCGTGAGACGTAATCATTATTTCAGGTAGAGCAATTCAATGATTTTCAACATCAAAAGCAACTTCATGTCTCTTTAAATACATTTATTCAAATTCGGTCCAGTCTTCGCTTTCAAAAAACTCCTTTAGGCTGGTGAGTTTGACATTGGGATTGAGCTAAACACGTCAGATCAAACAACTCTCTCGCCTCGCAAGGGGTAGAACTTACATCCTTAGGCACAACCACGTCTCCCCATCCGAATTCCCCACTACAAGTCGTAGAATTTGATGCTTCTTTCTCAAGTCCTCCTGGATGAGGCTTACCTCGCGCTTCAATAGGAACTTCTTTGCAAGTGACTATTTTTCCAGTCACCTGTCCCCAAACATCAAAAAACTGCACGAAGCTTGCTGATTCGCTGACTCCTAATAGGTTCTGCTTTGGGGGACTTCGGACCAACAATTCCACGAAAGCACCTGTATCAGCTGGTACGACAAATGGATGTTCTGCTGCAACTGGACTGACACGGGGGAAGATCCATTCACCTGAACCATCATTCTTCGCGATCGTATCAGCTTCACGATCTCTCAGCCAGAAAAGTGGGGTCATACCGTTTTTTTGGGTCTGAAGGTGTCCTCATAATCTTTCACATTTGTCGTGTATATGCCCATATTCAGCAAACTGCTCTTCTCCCACAAATCCTTCTGCTCTAGCTGCAAATACTTCGTAACCTCCGCTTTTGAATCAAAATGATACGCATAGGAATATTTCCCTTTACTGAACTCTTTGAAGGAGGGCAAGGGACTCCAAATGAATCTCTCAAGTTTGCTTTCATCCTGTAAAACTTTGGCGGCAGCGTCAACCATTGCTTTGCCTCGACAGACTTCGATGGCAGCAGCATATCCGCCGGTGGCCCGATCTCCCTGCTTTGAAAGCTCTTCATACTTTTTGAAGAACGGTTCCCAGAAATTCGTAACAGCGAAGATCACTTCTGCGCCAGAGAAAGCTGTGATAAGTGAGGCTAGATCGTCTTGGTCGACACTGACAACCTCGATACCTCGATTTGAGAGAGCCTGAGCTGATGGCGATGAGGTGTTTCGAGTGATTCCTCGGACGTTCCATCCCAATGAGAGAAACTTGGTAGCGACAGCACCACCCTTTCATGAATGTAAGTATGGGCCACTAGTATGAAGGTGAAAGATGAGACACCTGGATGCCAGTTGCTCCTACCACGACTATAGTTTTGGCCATAATGAGGACTTGTGGAAACTTGAAGAATGGAGCTGAAAATAATACTTAGGATTGAATTTTAAAAGGACATGGGACTAGGAGCTTGTCTTTATTTATCTCAAGACAAACCACCTTTCCAGCAATATTTATACTTCATGGAAGCTCAATGGTATGATCGATTATCATGACGAAACCATGATTAGAAATAGACGAGCCTAGTTGCTCCAAGGCATAAATGCAGACACCATCAGAATATCTTGTTTCAATCCATCGATATCACGTTCAAGTCTCACGTCGCTGATAAATCCAGCAAAACTACTTGGTCAATTGACCAATGAGTATCAAGCATTATGACGATCACGGCAAGTGGCGGCCGGAATCCCGTCAAGTAGTTATGATGGAACATTGCCTACAGAGTATATGGCTTGATGTATAAGCAGCGCGACATATTCACAACATCATTTGAACATACAATCTAGCCTTCATAACCTCCGCCGGTCCGCTGTAGAAATTCAAAAGCTCAACATCTGACCACTTTCTATGCGAGAAAATTAACATAGTAACTCTTAACAACGTCCATCCAGACCGGCTTCAAAAAGGACCGTGCCAGCCAAGATGTGCTAGAATAAATGCCGAACACTCCTTGCCGAATCTTACCACGCATTTGGGAAGAATGTTCCGGGTCAATTTCTTTTTACCATTAAAGTCTACCGTATTCCGCTCAGTCTACAGAGGCGGACTTCTTTCAAGCCTTTCCGCTGACTCAGCAGAGTATGTTCGGGAGATCTCAGGATCAACTTCGGAGAAGAGAGAGAATATGTGCCGGAAAGTGGGGACATTGTTAATTTTCGTCTAACTAATTATTCTTCAATCAAAATGTATAATAAGTCGGGTACCCTACTTTCTAATCATTTCTGTTTTGGGCTATCCTTTTACATCAAAAAGTACTTTTTTGGTTTATTAATATCTTTATTAAAATATAATATAATCAATTAAAAATTTATATATATATATAATTCAAATCATTTTTAATCTATATTGAAAATTTCAGATTTTTAGGATTTTTCTAAGTAGATATTTGAAGCTTTAAAATATTGATTTTTTAATTTGTATAGGAATTATATATAAATTTGAAATAAATTTTGAATTTTCAATATCTTTTTAATTATAATTAATAAAAAGAAACTAATTGCTTTTTTAAAGGTTCTGAACTTGAATCTGTATAAAAAAATTAAAAAAATTCATAATTATAAAAATATAACTGAAGTAAGAAAAAATAATTTTTATAATTTCGAAAGTATTTTTATAAATACTTATTAATTTAAATTTTTCTAATTTTTTTAAATCTCTTATATTATAAATAATAAATATAAATGATAAAAATTTATAATTTATTTTTAATAATTTTTATTAAAAAGTTATTGAAGATTTAAAACTAATTTCAAATTTGTATATAATTCCTATATAAATTAAAAAAATCAATATTTTAAAGCTTTAGATCTCTACTCAGAAAAATCCTAAAAATCTAAAATCTTCAAAATAAGTTTAAAATGATCTGAGTCATATATATATGAATTTTCAATAAATTCTATTTATAAATAAAAAAGTTATTAATAAGCTAGAAAAGCAATTTTTGGTGTAAATGAGTGGCCCAAAAGAGGGGTGGTCAGAAAGTAGGGTACCCGACTTATAGAGTAGATGGCCTAGTGAGAGCCTCTCTCGCCCCTCCAAATTGTACAAAAGTCAACTCTTGGGAATCTCTATAGCCACCTACCATGTCAAATCAACAACTTCATATACCACTTCCCTCACCAGAGCTAAAATTTTGAATCTATGATTGTTAAGTTGGATCTATATTCATCTATTTTCGATCTACTTTATTTATTCTCTTATACGGGAATATGATATCCCCTAGATCGTCATTATATGACGCTTAGATGGTCCGTGCATTAAGCAAGATTATTAATATCTTTGTAAATAATATTGATAATAAAGAAATTAATAAATGTGTGATATGTAACAATTTCATTAATATTATTTCAATTAATGCGAAATTTGATCTTATAAATATAGGGATATTATATTTAGATATCCCTTCTATTTCGAAAGTAGGAAGTTCTTTTAAATTTATAAATTTTGTTGATTTTAATTGAAAACTTATTTTATAAGTTAATACTCAAAAATATAATATATTCAATCTATTTTATATTTATTTTCTTATTAAAATATTAAAATCGATAATAAAATAAACAAATTTATATATATAAATATCAAAAGATAAAGAACTTTCAAATTTATAAACATTTTAATAATATTCTATAATAATAGATAAGATTTATTTATATTTAAATATATATATATATCAATTCATATTAAATTTAAATTTGAAATTTATTGGAAGTATAATAAGAATATTAATATACATCCTTTTATATATTTTATATTAAGGAATAAATTTGAAGAGCTTTATATAAGGTATTATATTGAATTTCCTAGAATAAGTAATGTTTATGAAAAAATGAGATATCATTTTATTAATTTGAATTTTATATATTAATATACTTATTTATAAGTAGATTTATTATTAAATTATATTTAAAATATTAATTTCTTAATATAAATACTTTAGGGTCAAATATTAGTTAATAAAGGTATAGCTCAATATTCTAATCGATTAAGCTTTATTATTATTATTAAAAATAAATCTATATCTATAGGATTTAAGATATGAATAGTAATGAATCGAGGTTTCTTTATAATATAGAATTGATATAAGATTAGTAAAAAGAATAATTCTTTAAATATAATTATATTCTTTCTTTTAAAATTAATAGTAAATAAAAAACATATAAATCCTATATAAACAATAATTCTACATTTAATATAAAAATTATTTAAAGTATTATATTATATTTATATTGATAATCTATTCATTTCCTATAACTTTTTGAAGTATATATATTATTCAGAATATATTATAATAGAAATATATAGATCTAATTCCAATATTTATAAAGATTTAATTAATTTAAAGATTCAAGATATTAAAGATAATAAGATATTATAGAAAATAGTTTATTTTAAAATATCACCCTTAAATAACATATGTTTTATAATATGAAAGGATAATGTAATAGTTTTAATATAATTTATAATTTATAATAGAAAAACCTTTATTAATAAGATACATAAAAGACTGAAAATGTGGCGGGCATCTTAATAATTATAGTAAAGCTGTTCTATTCTTCTTATTAAGATTATGCTATTATATATACATTTATTTAAATAAACAATACTATTACATAGTATACTATATTTCCTCTAACCTAAAGAAAGTGGTAATACCCTTATTATTTATATATATAAATTATTTAATATAGCTCTTTTTATATAATCAGACTTTTATTTTTAACATATAATATTATTTTAATAGATATTGTTTATTGCTATTTAAAAGCAAATAATATCAAATCACCTTCTTCAAGTATGGATAGCTTATAATTATATATATTTAATGAATTAAAAAGTAACAAAAATTAATAGCATAGAGTTATATCTATTTAACATTAAAATGATATAATATTGATTATAAATGTATTCAGGGTTTGCTTTTAATTATAAGTATCTATTTGTAAAGGTTTGTACTTCTTTATATCTGTCATAATTGCGTAGCTTTTAAGACCATACAAATTCGTTATATTAAGTAACTTTTTTATTATAATCTTATTTGTATCTATTTCGATAAGTATATTAATTATAAAGTATTTCTTACAAAAAGTATATTATATATTACTAATTTATATTTTCGAGTTATTCTTATATTTAAATATTATTTTCAATATTGATTTTTAATTAATCTTATCTTTAATAATAAAAATGTTAAGTATTACCTACAAATCTTTAGTTTATCTCTCTATTTCTTTATTATTACTTATCTTAATTAACATCTTCTTAATCTCAATTCCCACTTTTATTATAATTATAAAAAACTATTCTACATCTTTCAACAATTAATGTAGTATTTACGTTATTATACTATTAAAATGAATCATATTAGCTATAGTTTTTGTTATTTCTGATTTATTGTTTAATAGGTAATTTATAAATAGATTAGTAGATTTAGTATATATTTTGGATTTGTTACAGTTATATTTATTATATTGTAAGATTTTCTTTTAGGAGTTGAATTCATTATAATCTCTCTTTAATTCTAGTATTATGAACATTTCCTAATTAATTAATCTTTTAGCTAATTCACTTCCTTTAGGATTATTCCCTATATCTCTATTGTGTTTTTTGTTAATAGATATTAATCCTTTTATAATTTTTCTTTTATATATATTATTTACACCTAAAAATTATCCCTATATTTACACTTTATTATTGAAATTAAACAGGAATATTTATAATGAAAAAGTCTTTTTTACTGTTTTACTAATAGTATTGTTTTTATTGAGTACTTTTTCTAGGAATATTAGATCATTATCTCCCCCCAGTCTAATTATATTTTATTCTATGCGTCCTACTTTAATCATATAGACTTTTCCTTATAAAGATACTATTAGAAAACCGAAAATCTTAGCCTCTACATAAATTAATTTATTTATATTAAATATTCTTGGGTAGAATTTGTCGCGTTTGTATATCAGGATTGATATATTAAATAATATTGTAATTGCATATACTAAAAGAAATATGTATATTAAAAAGCCATTTATTCCCTTACTATTATGAAAATTATTGAACAACAATTCTAATAATATAAATGGATTATAATACTTTTAATTATATATATTATTGGGGTTTTTATTATTATCATTAGATAATTATTTTGTTTAATCTATTTTCTACTATTTCTTTATTTCCTTAGTGAATATACTATCTATCTTAATCTTAATAAATTAATTTGATGTTATAGTACTATGTATATTATATAATTGTATTTATATTATATTTATAAAGATTTAAAAGTTTATAAAAATTATATCTTTAATCATTATATTATATTTTATTAAAAGATTAAAAGTACTTACTTATATATAAATCATATTATTTTCTTTATCTTTAATAATCTTACTTTTTATATTACTATTATTATTATTTTTATTTTCGATTTTGTTTTCAATATTATTATTCTTATAATTCATGTTATTAGCTCTATTATTATTT